ATTCAACAGAAAACTTCTTATCTAATGAATCTCTTTTGTCAGCTGATTCTACAATCTTCTTCCAAGATCTAGTGGAGAAGATTTTCTAGTTGAAAAACTTCCAAACTTCAAACTTCAACTAATCACTGACTTGCTCAAGATAACCCATTTGATTACAATTTTAGTACTCGTCTTCATCAAAAACTGATATGAGACTGAAATTGTAAGGGAGGTGAAAAATCCCCAATAGTATTTCTTCACACAGCTTTTGGATCTTTATCTGACACTATTAGGTGTTTGATATCCATCAATGACAGACCTGAGCTCTGATACCAACTGAAGGTGTGAAAAATACACAAGGAATGGGGGTTTGAACTGGGTATTTACTCTATTGAAACTTTTTCTCTTTTCTTCACTTGCTGCTTAGAGTTCTTTAAGATGCATTGCGGAAGCATAACTAATAAAATATAATACAAGTAAAGAACACAAGATATATCCTGGTTCACTTGAGCAACTCTCAAGCTAATCCAGTCCACCCTTCCAAGGTGATTTCGTCTCACTCACGCAAGGACTTAATCCACTATAACCAAACTGATTACAGTTGCACAAGCTAACTGCAAGTGACTAACAAATAGACAATAACACGTTCAGAGATCCCTAAGGATATAACGTTCATTGACACCTAATAGAATCCGATCAATTAAGATCTCCTATTAGTTACCATAAATGACAACTGTCACTTGTCATCTCAAGTATTCTGATCTTCACAAGATCACTTGAGGAGCCACTAATTCTAAAATGAATTTGTGTTGCCGGAGATTACATGAGTGCTTCTTGTCAAGCAGATTACTCCTAATTAAGTACAAGGAAAGTATTGAGCAACAACTCCTTGCTTCCTAATACAGAAACTAATCTAAAGATAAATCTCTAAGAGATTATTAAGAACAGTAGTTTCCATAAAGGTTCAGCTTGCTTGCATGCTAACAAGCTGATAGGCTTGCTAACATTTGAATGACTCAAATGTTCTTCTTTTATATTTGCATCCAATAGAGTCGTTGGGAGGGTAGAGATGTCCATTCAATATTCCAACGGTCATTTCCAACGGATAGAATAAGCACGTGTTGGATAGAACAGTGGCATCACTCTTTTTGTCCTTTTGTTGTAACGTTAATATGTCATTTAAGCTTGGACAGATCAACTTCTGGCTTGGTTCTTCTGATGATGTATCTGATGAGTAGTTCAGAACTACTTTGGTATGAAAGCCTCAACATCAGAGTTGTTTAAGCACATGTTTATCAGATTTAATAGCAGCAGCTTATCTAATGAGTAATACGCCTCTGTCTGGGTGAATCTTCTTCTGACACAATCTTCAACATCAGAATCCAGTCTTCAGCATTCCAAGATCTAAGTTTCCTCTGAAACAGTCTTGAGAATCTTCGTGACTGATTTTTTAGAAATTATGTCTTCAGAATCTTCAGATTCTTGATCTTCAAAACACGTCTTCAGAGTCTTTCTGCACTTGGTCTTCAGAGCATTCAGCCTTCAGAACTTCAAGTCATCAGAGTCTTCAGAGTAGTTCTTCAGAGGACTATATCTTCAGAGTCTTCAGAGTCTTGATCTTCAGAACCCTTAAGTTTTCAGAGTCTTTCTGCACTTGGTCTTCAGAGCCTTCAACCTTCAGAACTTCAAGTCATCAGAGTCTTCAGCACTTAATTCTTCAGATGACTCATTCTTTAGTGACGCTTGTTAGCTTCCAGATCATATGCACTTCTCAGAACAGAATCCACAGGAGCATTGCAACTGCAATATCTAGCATCCTTGAATCTTTCTGATCGTGACCAGATACAGATGCATACTTGCTTCTTCAATATGCTTTGTTTGCTTTCAGATCAGATGTACTACTCAAATCAGAAACCACAGGAGCATTGCAACTACAATATCCAGCATCCTTGGATCTCTCTGATCGTGATCAGATGCATAAGCAAACTAGCTTCTCCCATAAGCGCTTTATGATACGTCACACATAGTAACTCTCATATTGTATTAGCTGCACACGTTGATGTTGTTTGTTTGATCTTATATATTTAATTATCATGATCTGCACATAACAAACATTAGAACATAAAACGGTTCTTTCACAAATACTTAATTGTTATCATCAAAACATAGAGATAATCCTGTAGAGACAAATCTTGCTCTTACAATGTAATGTTAAATTTGCGTAATGCTTATCTATGTAATGTTTATTTTGATGTTAAATTATGTTGGTTTTCCATTCTACCATTGTTTCTGTTTTGAACTAACATAGCTTATTTCAGAGATGCATCTCCGGAAAGCTCACAGACTAATGAACTAAGGGGGTTACAGAGATGCATCTCCAAATCAACCTTTAGTGCATACAGATATGCATCTTCGAACCAAATTTAAACAAAATAAAGGTTTTTCAACAATTTTGTTGAGATGTATGTGAAAAAGGTGCATCTGAAGATGCATCTCCGGACGCTATGGGCATTTGATACTTTTCATGATGGTGAGGGAGAACACATAAGGGTGGAAAGAGCAACCCTCTAGTTTAATCCAATGACTCTTATTTGTGGTCCACCATAAACCACATGGTTCATCCTAAAGGCAATTTCTTTTCCCGACCTTATAGGTTCTCCGAAACCCTTGACAAAAAGTAAAAAATGTCCCCAATTTTCATAGATGCATCTCCAGACGTACTCATCTCCCACAAAATTGAACCCCAACGAGTGAGACACCCCAACTTTACACAATTTTTGTTCGGAGTTAATCTCCAAATGTTTTTCTTGATATATTTTATAGATGCATATCCGAAAGTAACCCAAATTCAAACCAGAAACAGAGACCATATGAACAAGATCTTGAAATAAAATCAACATGACATTAAATTAAAACACTTAACATTACATAGATAGTTGTTAACATAAATTTAACATTACATATCGTTATAAATGGGTAATTCAGGACGTTGCAACATATTAATAATATCGTTGGCGAATCTTTCAGTCTTTGCGTCCACTTCAATGGGACATTTTGATGCGTAACGGTAAAATGTACTCCGCATGACCTATAAATCTTCATATGTATTCAGTTTAAAGTTAGTGAATTGTATCTTCCCTTCGCTATCAAGCAATGGTGAACGATGCTCGAGTTTGACAACTTTCGGATTTTTCTGGATATCGCAAGAGAATCTTCATTTTGATTTTCAGATCAACGAGAAGTATGTCGTCGCAAATCGAAAATTAAAGTGGAGGTTTTGCGTCATTGAAATACACAAATGCAATGTGGTAAACATATCCGGTGCACCATATCTAATACAAACCAAAACAGAAAAATGGTTTAAAAAATTCACAGTAACAAACAACTTTGGAGATGCATCTCCGAAACAGATAGTAGGTGAATTCGGATATGCATCTTCAGGCGTAACATTCATTTTTTTAGCACCAAAACAAGATTAATACAAGAAATGAGGTATGAAATGAATAAATTTTACTTTAAATTGCACCCTTTTTTGCTCCATTTGATGTGATAAAACACAAGAATGATGATTTGGAGTCGAAAAGATGATTGAAAAAGTTTTTTTAAAAAGGATTTTGGGTTATGGAGGAGGTATGGTGTGAAAGAGATGATCATACAAGTTAGTCATATATTCAATTTTCTATTTGAGATTTCCAGAGATCCATCTCCGAAAATATTACTGAATGGTTAAATGATAAATCATCTTAATGAAAACGTTTTTTAAATGGCTCATGAAATCTTTTCGTAGATGCATATGTGAATTTACTCTAGAAATCTTCATAGATGCATCTTTAAACTAAATTTTAACAAAAATAAGATTTAATGTGTTCGAAAATGTATCTCCCAAATAATATGAGAAATAATATGAGGTTGTTTTTTGATTTTCGACCCATTATACGTAGGAAAGGAAAAGAAATTGCCCACCTATTTCTTAATATATGTAAAAGAAAGAAAGTATTTTATAATTAAAAGTAAAACGAAAGAAGTACTAAGTAAAATTTAAATAAACAAATGTAATTTTGACTTTCATATATACTCTCCTGCTATATGAGTTAGGTACCCTCTTAATGCACCCCTTAAATGACACGATCTTGATAATAACTTAGTTATTTGATGTTTTAAACAATATGATGGAAAGACCGCGTGGGTAAGACAAAAATATTACTATACTACATTAGAAAGAAGAAAACTATATAATAATTCAGTTCGGGACTGAATGGTTTTGGCATATTTTTTGTGAGAAATTAAAAGTAGAATTTTTTATTGTGAACACCGAACTAGATCTCAATTTTTTTGGTAGAGACTGAAATGCATCTTCACTCTATGTAGGAGAAAACATAGGAAGACGAGGGAAGACAGTGAAAGCTTCAGAACTAGAGAGTGAGACATCATCAAAGATGTAGAAATGGATGCATCATCCTAACAACAAATACAAGCTAATCCTAACAAAATTAACAGAAGAATAACAATCTGTAACATTGTAATAAACATTTTACATACACAAAGCATACCATGAGGTGATTGAACTACAAATATCTATACCGTGAGGTGATTGAACGCACGTGTAAAAAAGTTTCACCGTCAATGCATACAAATTAATGTAACTATCAAAATTAAAATCATGTAGCCGACTCCTCTTAGTGAGATAATGCTTGGTTGTTAATTGTTATTGTATAAAAATTAAAGCCAGGTCATGCCGAGGAAGCTATAAGGTAGCCATCCGCATTCAACAATACAAGTACAACAAGGTCTCTTGTGTATATGCGTAAAACTGTAAACCTAAGATGTGGTTGAAGTAACTCGGAAAGATCAGAGTTCATAAATCAGTTTTAGATAATCAGGTTTAGCTACAAGGCCAAGATGTACATGATCCTAGCCTAACTATACAATTTCCTTTTGTCATATATAGAGTAGGAAAAAGGTATATCAGTAATTTTCTAAAAAGGTAAATCTGGTTTGGTGAGTTGGTAAGCGGTTCCAAGTTATGAGTCAGTATCATTGCCACATTCCGAGTTCTTAAGATGATCCTGGTGGAAAGGATCATCTGTACCGTGCACAGAACTCAACCTGGGAGAATAGTTCCACCCTGTCATTTGCTCAAGCTCATAGCCATTACATCTCATGTCGCATTCCTCCTGGAACTTCAGGAAGAACGTCGATGACCAGTAATCTTTTGCCAAGTTCTGGGAAGTGTATGCAATATAAAAAATTTAGATGAAAACTATAGCCGCAACAAGGCTAATTTTAATTAAAGGAGTCCTATCAAATTGTTGTGAATGTAAGGAACTCACCGTTTTCATCAGCTGCACGATTTCATTAAGTGCAATATGAAAGAGATCAGCACGTGCGAGGTCTGAAGTTGACAAAATTTCCTGTTTGCTTCTGTGAGAGATGTTTATCTCCATAGCGGCGCCTGTAAAATTACATTTTAGCAAATATTAAAAACAGCCACCCTACATTTGGAAGGAAAGCATGCAATCACATGCTTCTAATTTTTTTTCTATAAAGTTAGAACTCCTTGGTACTGAACTCATTCACTGAAAACCCTATCCGTGAGACATTCAACTGTGTCTAAATGAAATAACTGTGTTTTTAAGGAGTGACCGAGTGAGAGAAATCCAGTATAACAATTTTGGCAATGAAAAAAGCAGGATGTCATGGAAGAGAAAACAATTTTGGCAATGAAAAAAGCAGGATGTCATGGAAGAGAAAACAATTTTGGCAATGAAAAAAGCAGGATGTCATGGAAGAGAAAACAAGACAGGATGAATAAACAAAGCTATCTCTAACAAAAAGTACCAACCTGCAACTATGTACTTCTCAATAATATGCCGTGCCATATAGATTCTTCTCACACAGTCATTTTCCGATATCTTACTAAGCTCATGCACTTCATCAAAGAAGTGCACACTCTCCCCAGCCAAGCAACTGTAAAATATATTAAAACACTAATATGTTATTCTTTTGCATAACCAGAGACAAGGTTTTTTACTTTTCATTCTTTGTTGTTTTCTTCTATTTTGATGTGTAGGTCCAAACATGGTTTTAAATTGCAGTCCGCAATTGCAATTGCTGCTGCAATATTGCCTGATGCAGTCACCTCCGCAATGGCGTCGAGCCGCAATTGCAGAGTGAATTAAAATCACATGTGACCTGTCAGAATCTGAATATTATACATTGAGATGTTGAATATACAAGCACTAATCTCTATATATAGAGTATTCTAATCTAATGGGCCTTGCTAAAGATCCAAACATGAATTACAACTAATAATACTAAATATAACAGTAAAATAAACTATTTACAACACGACTGCATTAAGAACCGCATCAGAAAATTTTAGAATCACAAGTCTCAATCTTATCTAAATGTAATGAAAAGTCTTAACTTTAAACACTTCTAAATTGTGTAATTAAAATATCTCTCCATAAATATTCTTGCCGCAATATGCTCCGCAGCATCCGCAATTGCAATATCCACAACTGCATCCGCGACTGCAATTTAAAACCATGGGTCCAAAACTTTCTAGACTCTAGAACAAGATTATTAAGATTCATTCATCTCAACCAGGATTCTTTAGTCTCAAGTAGCACCTATTATATTTACTGTATTGAAAAGGTCAGCTATTTCAATTAAATCATTTTTCTTAAATAAGAGAAATCATAATTCCACGACAAATGTCTGCCTACATACTGGAGTCAACAGAAGGACATTTTACCTATCGGAAAATGCCATAAAAGACTGCCTGAATTTCTTGTTCATGAGAAGCTTATCCAACGGTTCATTAGGATCTATCCTTGAAATTGGTTCACTCTGTGCTAATACCCCACTATCAGGTATGCCCAAAGCCTGGCCCATTGTGCGAAATTCTCTGGATTCTCTTCTCCTCAAGCTGATTTGCGAGAGCAGTGGTTGTGAACTTGATATTGAAAAGAACGCCAGAACAAGTATGCTAGCCTTTAAATAAAGACAGCATCAGATGAATTAAATAAGAGATTTACAACATGATTAGTGGCATTGAATTCATATTTCCAATTAATTAACAATGTGTTATTTCATTGTAATGCAACAAGAAGCAGTAGGAAAGCATACCAAAACTAAAAGAAGAAATCTGGAGGCAACTTGAAGCCATGAGATATTGTCATGAATTTCATTAAGTATGTAAGCAGTAATCCATGCAACTAACAGAAAAAAAATAGCAAAGGTTAAATTATTGAGGCCACCAAGCTGAAACATCTAGAAAATATATGTTAGAATACAACAGCAATAAATCTTATCCCACTAAGTGGAGTCGACTACATCAAACGATGCCATAATGTTCTATCATTTATCATATCTCTATCCAATTCATAACTCTTATCTTGCAATATATGTTAGAATATGTTGAAATACAAGAGACTAAGAGACATTTGAATAAACCGTGTGTTTTGAAAAGCACTATGGAGATATTATTATATATAGAGATATTACAACTAATTACATTATATAATCGATGTGGAACTATTTTATATACAAATATTCTTAACACTATATTTACAAATATCAACACCCCCCCTCAAGCTTGAGCATATAAGTCAAATGCACCAAACTTGTTACATATATAATTAGTTCTGGGGTTTCGCAGGGATTTTGTAAGCATGTCAGTCAATTGATCAATAGAGTTGACAAAGCTTGTGACAATGTCACCTGATTCGATCTTCTCTCTGACAAAGTAACAACCTAATTCAATATGTTTGATCCTCTCATGGAAGACTGGATTTGAAATAATGTGCAATGTAGCTTAATTATCACAAATAAGTGTCATTGTTCTTGCTTCTTCAATTTGACGTTCCTTGAGCAACTGTTTTAACCAAATAAGTTCACATGTTGTCATTGCCATGGCCCTATACTCTGCCTCGGCGCTTGATCTTGCAACAACGTTTTGTTTCTTACTCTTCCAGGATATAAGGTTTCCTTCAACAAGTACACAATACCCAGAAGTAGATCGTCTATCAATGGGTGACCCTGCCCAATCAGCATCTGAGTATTCAACTATCTGAGTATGTCCTTTATCTTCATACACTAGACCTTTCCCTTGAGCACATTTGATGTATGTTAGAATCCGAATAACAGCATCCATGTGTTCCTGACAGGGGGAATTTAAGAAGTGCCTTATCACACTGACTGCAAAAGAAATGTTCGGACGAGTGACTGTGAGATAATTTAACTTTCCAACCAATCTCCTATACCTTCCTGAGTCAGATAGAGGCTCCCCTTGATTTGGTAGTAGTTTGACACTTGGATCCATAGGAATCAGCTGGTTTAGCATTCAACAAACATGTTTTTTTCAAAATATCCATAGCATATTTTCGCTGAGAAATCACCAAACCATCTTTAGATTGGGCTACCTCAATACCCAAGAAATAACGGAGTTCACCAAGATTTTTGGTTTGAAATTGATTCGAGAAATGTTTTAATTGGAGTATTCCCTGTTGATCACTACCAGTTATGACAATATCATCTACATACACAATAAGATAAATACACCCTTGGGCTAAGTGACGATAAAAAACAGAATGGCCAGCTTCACTAAGGACCATACCAAACTGTTGTACTACAGCGCTGAATCTGTCAAACCAAACTCGCGGAGATTGCTTAAGACCATAAAGAGACCTGTGTAGCCTACACACCATATTCAATGACTCCCTCTGAGCAACAAACTCAGGTGGTTGCTCCATATATACTTCCTCTTCAAGATCCCCATGTAAACAAGCATTTTTAATGTCAAGTTGGAGAAGAGACCAATGTCGAATGGCTGCAATGGCTAGAAGAAGTCTAACAGATGCCATCTTGGCTACAGGCGAGAAGGTATCACTATAATTCAACCCAAAAATCTGAGTGTATCCTTTGGCTACCAAGCGAGCTTTAAATTGATGAATCTTACCATCGGGACCAACCTTCACTGTATAAAGCTAACGACAACCTACTAAAGATTTTTCAAGGGGTAGAGGAACCAGTTCTCAGGTACCACTGCTTTGAAGAGCACACATTTCATCAATCATTGCTTGCCTCAATTCAGGGTGAGATAATGCTTGACCTGGATTTTTAGGAATAGAAACAGAAGACAAAGAAGACAAACAAGTATACTGCAAAGGAGAAAGACGATGATAACATAAATCAATATAATGCGGAGAAGGATTTCGTGTTTGACGTATACTTTTTCGAAGGACAATCGGAAGATCGGACTCAGGTGGCAGGATCGGATCCAGTGATGGCGAGAGCGTCGGAGGAGAGTCTACAGTGACCTCAGGGACAGGTACGGCCTCAGGAACAGGTACGACCTCAGGAACAGGTACGACAGACCTTGGTTGACGACGCTAATATGTTTGAAGTGGGCGAGAAGTGGGGGGGTCAATTGTAGGCCTATCTAGTGGGTCAGGTTCCCTAGAATGATGGGGGACAATGGCAGATGGGACTTCCCAAAGAGGTGTGGGAATACTTTCTTGAAGGGGTTCCGGAGTTGCTTGGCTGGACTCGAAATATGGAACAGACTCTAAGAAGGTAACATCGGCCGATATGAGGTATCATTGTAGAGCATGTGAATAACAACGATAATCTTTTTGGAATCGATGATAACCAAGAAAGACGCACTTTAGTGATTGAGCTGATAGTTTATAAAGACCAGGGGAGAGATTGTGTACAAAACATGTGGACCCGAAGACTCGGGGAGGAATTGGGTGAAGTGGAGAATTGGAAAAAATGATTGAATGAGGGATTTTATTGTTAAGGACAGATGATTGCATGCGATTTATAAGGTAACATTTCGTTAGCACAGCATCCCCCCAAAACCGAAGTGGAACATTACCATGGAGAAGTAGGGTCCGAGTGGTTTCTACGAGATGTCGATTTTTGCTTTCGGCTACACCGTTTTGTTGAGGTGTGTGAGGGTAGGATGTTTGATGGAGAATACCATTGTGTGACATAAAATTTTGAAATTGTTGGGATAAATATTCACAGGCATTGTCACTTCTTAAGGTACGGATAGACACACCGAATTGAGTTCTTATTTCTCGATAAAATTGTTCAAAAATAGAAAATAATGTAGATATATTCTTCATTAAAAATAACCATGTGCAACGTGAAAAATCATCAATAAAGGTGACAAAATACCTAGACTCAAGAGTAGAGACAGTACACGAGGGACCCCAAACATCGGCGTGAACTAAAGCAAAAGGGGACGAAGTTCGTTTGTTGACTCGATTGGGAAATTGACTACGAGTGTGTTTCCATAACTGGCACGATTCACAATGTAAATTAGATGCCTTCGATAAATTTGGCACCAACTTATGTAACTTGGAAAGACTGGGATGACCTAACTGAGTATGGATAGTGTGTGGAGAATCTTTGGCTGAGCATGTCTGAGATGACAATGAGAGGTAATAAAGGCCTTGAGACTCATATCTGACGCCAATCGTCTTTCCCGAACTCCGATCCTGCAGGGTAACATTACTGTTAGTGAAGGTGATACTACAATCAAGAGAACGAGTAAAAAGCCTGACTGAAAGTAAATTAAATGGACAATTAGGTACATAGAGGACAGAAGTAACAGAGAGAGAAGGTAGAATTTGAACAGTACCAATCCCTTCGGATCGGGTTTGAGAACCATTGGCAGAAGTTATAGTAGGTAAGAAACCAGAGGTAGAGAGGGAAGAGAACAGATTTTTATTACCATTTTTATTACCAGTAACATGATCAGACGCATCAGAATCAAGTACACAAGGTCGAAGAGGAGATGATTAGTGTGTGCTACCGTAGCAGTAGAATATGAGGAGTAGTCATGAGTATCTAAAGAGAGAAAATATCACGCGATCGGTTGCTGGACGTGCTGTCACGTGTGGTTCAGGTGGCGGCGCGTGATGCCCACGCGCGGAGACGGAGGTGGCGCGGCGTGCGGAAGGTTTCTACCGGTGAAAAAGTTTGCAGGAAGCTCAAAGTTTGCAGGAAGTTCGCCAGGAATAGTAGCGACGGCGGCGGCTATGACCGAAGAATATTGAAAACTGGTGGTGGGGTTGGCTTTCCAAAACGTCGGCATAGTAACGACGGCATGGTGGTCACCGGAGAATTTTAAAAAGTGAGGCAAATCTGAGAGACAACACGGTTTGCAAAAAAAAAAATTCTCACCGGAAGACAGTGGGTCAACCGGGTAAAGCACGGCGAAGAAAGAATTGCCTTTTAGCATGCTCTAGATACCATGTTGAAATACAAGAGACTAAGAGAGATTTGAATAAAACGTGTGTTTTGAAAAGCATTACAGAGACATTATTATATATAGAGAGATTACAACTAATTACATGATATAGACGATGTGGGACTATTCTATATACAAATATTCTTAACACTATATTTACAAATATCAACAGAATATATAAAGGGTGTCAAAGTCGGGTAACCCTCACAAGGTTATTCAGCCCAACGGTGGTTGAACCCGAACGTCGCCCTAATAAGGGTAATATATAAACTGAAAAGTTTAGAAAATTTCTTCGGTGGATGTTTAGTGCTTAAAGTAAAATTCTCGATCAACCTTGTGCATGTGATGATTATCATAATTCCTATTGCCTTAATTTGATTGTCCGAATGAAAAGGGAGGAAAATCGGAAATGAGACTTAAGTACAAAGCATAGTTAGAGAGGTATCCAAAAAAGGAAAGCTTAGATCCGTAGTTTCACCGCAGTTAGTGTTCTTGTAAAAACTCTTGAAGCCGGATGAGTACCAAAAGAACTAATCCCTAGCCTTTTTGAACAAAAACTCGCGTATGAGTACTGGTGAGCCTCACCTCTCATGAACTCTTTCACTCGATGTTTTGCTTGGTCCAAAAACCTGCTTTGCAAGCTATGTTGTTTGAGGACAAGCAACGGTCTAAGTTTCGGGGAGTTTGATAAGTGGTTTTTGTGTCGCTTTTATCGGTAGTTTTTCTTTGTTATTTCATCATATTTTGTTTACTTTTCTTCATTTTTCTATGTTTTATGTATTGGTACTGTGTTTGTGTCATTTTCAGGCCTTAACAATTATACTGGAAGGAAAGAGGATCGAATCGGTTGAAATACGAAGAAAAAGGCAAAAGTTGAAATTCCCCGGTACAAAAATTAGGGAGCTGTTACGGCCACCCGTAATACCCATTACGGACCGTAACAGCATTATGCAGACAATTGGGAATTTTGTGCGCGTAGGCCAAAATTCCTGGGACCTTGTTACGAGTACCCGTAATATCCATTACGGACTGTAACAGGCAGGCGTGTTTTCATTTTTCTATTTCCTTTTTCGATTCGATTTGTTACCGTTTTGAATCTCTGGCACATTCCTAATTAGGCAGATACTTATGATAAGGCATTGACTGAGAATATTTGTTCCATGTTTTAATAATTGCTATAAAACTCATAAGTAGGTTGGAGTTTGGGGGATCCAGTTTTGAATGTACAATTTGGTTATCTGCAATTTTATTCTCTCTTATAATTGAATCATAAGCTATCTTATAATTACAAGTATTTTATTCAGGTTCTATTTTATTGCTTTTCTTATTCTTTTATAATTGTTATTGCTATCATGTTTGCTTATCGCAAAATCACTCTGTCTGTGTTATTTCTCACCATAAGTGAGTAGTTCCTTAGGAATTAAGGGTCATGAGACCTAACTCATGACTATCTATAGGGTTGTTTTCACATATTACAAGGATTTGAAACGCGTTATTTTGAAAACCTGAGTTTTCTAATTAACCCTTGTTACGGAAGTAAAAGAATTCTCAGGTATTGATAATGATCTGAAAAGACTTGTATCAATACCCGATAACAGGTTTTTAAACAACTAAGTTCGATGATGCGAAAGCACTCGGACAAGATTGAGAAATGAATCAATTCTAATCGAGTCGAGTCGAACTCAGACGAGTTCAACTCAACTCAACTCATTTCCAACCCTATGTGTAATGAAACAACTCCGATTGGTATATTGGGAGATGACAAAGCTATTAACGAGGAGGGAGAGATCGTGGTTCTCAGAGCTAATAATGACAGAGAGGGAGAGTTAGGATCTAGAGTGAAAAGGTGCCTTTTCGGATTAACAGTGTCTGGGGTGCCAATGTCTTAACAGAGAAACTGAAGGGTTAAGTGCAAGGTTTTTATCCCGGCCCTCATTGCAGTGGGGCAACTAATATTTTCATCTTATCCCCCTAGTTGTGGAAGCCATGGGTTTCCTTATTATTCATGTTAAACCAATGGGTTTCATTGGGTTTCTTGGGCTGAATTGTTGTACAACACTTTTCATGTTTCTATATGATTCACTACGTTTGAAGTGGTGTATGGGATGAAACCACCAGTGTTGGTGTATTTCTTGGAGAGGGAAACTAGAGTGGAGGTTGTGGCTCAGGAGTTGGGGGACAGAGTTGAAGCTATAGCCAAGTCAAATACAATCTCCATAGAGCTGGAGAGCAAATGAAGTAATACACTGACAAGAGAAAAGATGTACAGCATGCCTTGAGTGATTGGGTATTTCTTAAGCTGAGGCCTCATAGCCAGCAATCGTTTGTAAAATGAATCCACCAAAAGTTAGCTCCATGGTTCTTTGGGCTGTATCAGATCGCTTATCAGTTGCAGTTACCAGAAGCATCTAGGATCCACCCTATTTTTCACGTGTCTTAGTTGAAGAAGGCTATAGAAGACTATGTGACTACTGAAGAGCTGTCTGTCAGTATAGAGGTTGATAAAAGTGAAGTACGACCTGAGAAATCCTGTCTCGAAGGGACTGTTTTGAGGAGGGACAACACAGAAGAGAGTGGTTGGCGAAGAACTTTTAAGGCCTCATTGCTGCGGATGCTACTTGGGAGAAAGAACTTTTGCCAAAAAGTCAATTCCCAGAGCTTAGCCTTCAGGACAAAGTTGTTTGGATGAAGGGGGTGATAATAGGATGTAGTCAGGGCCAGATCCTAATGGGCCTAAATGATGACAAGAGGCCCATAGTTTAGAGGGTGTATGTGAGAAAGGAGAAGAGAGAGGAGAGGGGAACATGTGAAGGGACAACTGGCTATTTAATTAGAATATTCCAAAAGAGGGTATGGGGATTGGTGCATTTTATGAGAATTCTGATGAAACCTCCTTTGTAGTAGGCAGGAGAAAGATTGTGATAGAAGACAACTGATATATTAAAGAAAATAGGGAAAATTCCTTTAAATTACAAAGTAGTACTACAGAACTTTGAGAGTCTGCACTTCCCTAATGCCAAAATAACCTTTTTCCTATAATTACCCACTAGCTCTCCTAATATTTTAATAACAGTTACAAAACTGAAGAGTCTAACAAATTGTTTTTCTTACCTGAGGAGCCTAAGCTCCGGTAGTTGTCATCTGCTTTCTTCATCAAATTCCACCGTGATCAATAAAATTCTATTTATTATTGCCTGATTGTTAACTCCTTATCACATTCAATGCATCATTCTTATCATATGAATTTAATTCTATTAATTTATATTTTCTTTTCCTTAAAAGACTAACCGTCTAACCCTATATCTACTCCAATATTCAACCTCATATTTTGCGACACTAGTTTGAAAACAATCTTTTAGATTCTTTAGTAAGGAGGGTAGACCAAATGGAGAGAAGGCAAACAATTAGAAGAAAGGGAAGACCTAGAAAGATTATCAGAGAAGTTATTAAGAAAGATCTCGAAATTAATGGTTTGGATAGAAGTATGGTCCTTGATAGAACATTATGGCATAAGTTGATTCATGTAGCCGACCCTACTTAGTGGGACAAAGCTTAGTTGTTGTAGTTTGAAAACAATTTTAATGGATATAGGTGTTGGGTTTGCCTATGCAAAGCAGTTCCCAAAGCATAGTGGTTATTCCCTCCGTCCTCATTCGTAATATCAATATGTACTTTAAAATATAGAGGGAATAACAGACCTATTTGTAAAAACAATTGTCCCAAAATGACTAATCTCTCAATTTTCAATAAAATATTAATGACTTTTTTTTTCCAATTGTACTTTCTAATAAATAATTACTTGGATCACTTCCAATTTCCACTTTGCATTTATGATAAAGATGAATGCACCAATACATGATGATAAAGATCTTTTAGTAAAAATATTCTTCTTTCTTTCATTTACACACTTCTATGAATCTGTATAAAATGGTCAACTATGTCGGTCATTTTGGGACAGGGAGTAATAAATATGCAAGAGGTATAAACATTTGAAAATATTGCATTGAAGAGCTAACATTGATTTTTGCTTCAGTTTTTTAACATGAATTTTACTCATTTTGGCTTAATGGTGAATTCAAGAACACTGATATTTGCATTAGAGTACTAGTTAGTGGTTAGTAGGAAGCTAGGAGCAACAAAATTAATAAAAATATAGTGGAATATCTTATAGAATATAGGAAAAAGTGTACCAATGGATACGGATGATACAAGTATTCCCCGCCAGAGGTCTCTGAGTTCATCAAACCTGAACTCTATATGATGAACAGCAGCCGTTACCCCAACCAAAGTCGCAACATACAATGAATGAAGGCAGACAACTGGTATGGTCCACTGAACCGACATGTGGCAACGATTGTTAAGAGGCTTCTTTATATGGATAACTAGAGCATAAATTTATAGCTTCATTAGAAATAAATACAGGAAAATAGCAACATAGGCTAGGCAAAGGGAAGATTGTAGCAATTATTTCTAAAAGGAAAATCCTACCAAGTACCATTAGAGTAATGTCTAAGGAATCAAAAGAGGTAACTTTTGTATCAAAAATGATGTATTTAATACTTCGACAAGTGTTTGCCATGTATTTCCAAGGAAATTTTCTTTTATGGGCTCCTTAAACAATACATAGGGCACTTGTTTGCATCGACCCTTAGAAGTTCCAAAAGACCCCGAGAGTATTACGGACATATTGCAGAAAGATTTTTAAATGAATAACTCATTTAACTGAAGAAGACAATGTCCAGGAAATTTTTGAAAAAAAAACAAAAGATTTTACATAAAAATAAATAAGAAAATGCAGCTCTAAGGGGGGGAAAACATGAAAGTACTAGGATAAATTTATAGCTACCTTTACTACCAGCAGCAAAGTCTATGTAACACAAACAACAGCAACAAGTAACTTAAAGTTGATTCAGATTCTTACCAGCAGCACCAACAATCCAGGGAAATAGAATAAGTGGAATTAAAAAGAATGATCTGATCAGTGGTAAGCGCCTCCTGAAATAGCAAGGAAATATAAATTCAACTCACAATTGACAAATGGACATTGACTCATTTAGCACTGCAATGAGTACAAATAAGTGGTTATACTTTTTCATTGCAAAAAAAGGAGCGGGGAAGAAATTTTAAGTGTGTGAAGTGCCACCTAAGGCAGCAGCTGAAGCTATAGAGCCTAACAATGCAATATCAGGTTGTCACTTACTTGACAAAGATAAAATATAACTGAAATGCTTGCGTTATGCGGCAGCTCAACAGCAAACCAAATCCTAGTGGACCTTCACCCCAAACTGAAAATAAACATGAAGTATGATTATGCTAACAACAAGTAACAAACATTCATCTCATCTGTTCAACTATGAAGTATAAACAATCAGAATAGATGGCACGAAGGTAACCTGCCCACAAATAGCATGACTTCCAATGCCTCTTTTCAAATTTCAAGAAACTGTTTGACATCTGCATGCAAAAAATATAGATAGCATATACTATTGTAACGACTGAAACAACTTTTTTCTTGTCGCAGAAAATCAATGACATATACTACATAAAGAACTTTCGTTGTACCATAATTGATAGAAGAAGGTTGAAGCTAGCAACAACTTGAATTACAGGTATCCAAAAACCACTTCCTTTAGTACGAGGAACCTTGTGAACTAGGAAGGGAAATATTGACCATACAAGAAGCCTGAAAGATAGAAGCCACCATTACCAATAGCACATGCATAAAAAGCCCAAATTATATATATTTGAAACAGTCCGACGCTTCAACAATAAGGTTAAGAAGCATCTGGAAGAGATTATTCGGACCCGCATAACTGTTTTGAGGAACTTACAAAAATAGGTTATGTTATATTCATAAGCTGTTCTCTCAATAGCTTATACCAGTAACCTAATTTTTCAGCTTATAAAAAATTAGTATAACTTGGTCCACTTTTCAATTATAGAAACATCTTACTCATTAACTCAGATGATAAGCCCCAATTGAATAAACGCTTAATTCAGATGTATATACAACAAACAAACGCCACTAAAGGCCAAAGTAAAGCACAAAGGAAATTAGAAGTAGTTGATAAATGAAATTGAGAACTCGAGATTGATTGAGGCATTTGAACAAACAGGTGGCGAATTGGCAGAAAGAAACTTACAGAATTAAGGAGAGAACCGAAAGGACAACGGCTGCGTAGTCAGTGGGACAGCCACCTTGGACGGCACAGTGATTCGCCATTCAGTAATCATCTGAGGTACAGAATTTGAGTTCAGGTTGCATTGAATCCAAGCTGACAATGTTGTTCTCTTTGTTTTTCTAGTCAACACCATTTCCACGTGATGTTTTCACACTTTGATATACTATTATTACTTTTTGTCTGGATTTCTTAATATTTTTAATCACTCCTTCGTTTTATAAATGTTTTATGGGTTAAAAGTGTTTTTACTAATTTATTTTAATAGATTCCCCTATTTTAAGATTATTTTACGGTACAAAATTTATGATATGGTATACTCCTTTGATATTTTTCTTTTTTTAACTTTTTATTTATTTTTTATATATACATCCGCAGATTCCTTCCCATTTCTCTTGTGAGGTTGTTAGAAATAAGGATGATGTAGAATGAATCTGTTAGGAATTTTGTGCAGAGGCCTTGAATATGTGGGATACTCAGAAAGTAGAATAAAATTTGTGTTATTTTCAATTGTGTTATGCATTTGTGAAGTTTTTTTTTTTTTTTAAACTTATTGGTCCCTTTTGCTTGTGTATTGTATTTGTGAATTTGTGAGTTATCTTGTGGTCCCCATTAGGTAATGGTATTTTGTCATATGATATGGTGTGAAATTCTGATGTGAATGAACTTTGTGCCCTGAACTTGAATCCATCTGTGTTGTTGTTGGCATAATTTAGTATGAATTGTGTGCTTGTTCCTTGTGCCAAATATCCTGTTAAAGCTGCTACTGATGTGTATTTAGGAAGGCCGGTTTTGCCTTGACTTGTGCATTGTCCTACTTGTTTGCCTAATGTACTAACCATCAGTTTCATTTTCTTTCCATGTATACACTTATGGAGCAACTTGGACATGGTAGAAGCTTGGCACGATGAGGTAGTTTGGCATGAAGATGAAGGAGTTAAGGGCTGCTTAGTGAGAAATTTAATGGAGAGCTTGATGGCAACTTGGATTGGTGAGGGCCTTGGATAGAATTTGGCACAAAGATGTAGGAATTATGGCCCTAACTTGGAACAAAGAAACATGGACTTGAATCTTTTAGGCCTAGAATTAATGTAACCTTGTAGAATCATGCTTGCACATTGGTCCACACTTGTAACAAAATTTGTACCTTTTATAACTTTGGATTCAAGTAATAGAATGTAACAATCTTTGTAACATTTGAAACTCATTTAAATTGTATCTAGAACTTGTACCAATTGTACTATTGGAATTCAATCACTTTTTGCAACTCTTGCTTTTGAATCCTTGAAATCAATTTGAATTTGCAACTTGAAACTTTTTACAAATTGTGAAACTTGGTAGTGTACTTGCCTTTAAAAGAACAATTTGAATCTTGTACCTTAACTTTGCATCACATGAAAATTAGGTATTAATGAAAATGGGATGGGCCAATGTAGCACATCTTAAGAAATGAACTTTATCTTCACATTTAAACCATGTCATTCAAATTCCTTGCATAAATGAGCCAATGAGCTTAACTTCCAAATATGGTTAACCTTTCATACCATCTTGCACTTGAATTCTTTCAACAACAAGAATATCATGAATGAAGCCATAACCTTCCTTTATTTTCATCTACACTTAACAAACTTGCAAGAAAAAGTTATAAAGGCAAATAAAGACCGTAAGAAGAACTCAATCCAAAACAAACATAAATGAGATTCATGGGCCAACCCTACGAATCATAGCCAAAGGCCAGCTTATTTCTTAAGGAATGACCATCAAGCCTTGCAAATACTTGGAATAAGAAAACAAAAGAGGTAGGACAAATTTGGGGTATGACACCTGCGAGGACATAAACATTGGACCATTATAAATCTTAGAACATCTCTCTCCCTCTCTCTCTCTCTCTCTCTCTCTCTCTCTCTCTCTCTCTATATATATATATATATATATATATATATATATATATATATATATATATATATATATATATATATATATATATATATATATATATATATATATATATATATTATATTTCTTGCATAATTGTGTTAGCTTTTAGAATTATTGATTAATTTAGAATCACATCAGTGTTTGGTTTGTTGTGTTCATAGTCCTAATTTGCATAAGCTTAAGTTTGATTAGAATATGCTTTCTAAATAATATTATTATTGATTACTCTGCAAGGATTATAATTAGAATTGTTTCAATTAAATAATTGTTAACAACATTGTGAGATGTTGGATCAAACTCTAGTATGGTCGAAGTCTGTTCGCGAGTAATGCGTGTTATAATCGAAGTTTGTTCTAACATGCATTAGTCAATATTGCTAGGGTTGTTAGCATGTTGAATTGGGTCTTACTTGTAAGCCCAATTGTTTAAGTTAGCTTGTACCCTAAGTTAGCTTGTAATGGGTAATTGTTAAAAAGTCCATTAGGTTAGTGTGCTATTTTTCTTATAAATAGGATACTAGTTTCTCAATCTTGTCATAAGGAAAAATAGGAAGATAAAATCCTAATTTCAAGAGAGAGTGGTTATTTTGTTATTCTTGTATACTTGTAATCTTGTTCTAAGAGAAAGGAAAGAATAGCAGTTTAATAATCAATCCTTGTTGTTTTTCTTCTTTATTAACCATAACCCTTGTGTGTTTCTTGATCATTAAGAAACTATTTATACTTAGTTTTAAGGTATCCGATTCACAACAAATTGGTGCGGTGAGCGTGGAGAAGATGCCTTCAAAGTATGAGATTGAAAATTTTACCAGAGTGAACGACTTCGGCCTGTGGCGCTTGAAGATGAAAGCCCTATTAGTTCAGCAGGGTTGTTTGGAAGCGTTGAAGGGTGAGGAAGCCATGGATGTAACAGCCCAATTTTCAATAATTAATTATTTGTGTTAATTAATTGATTTATTTGGATTATTCTAATTATTTGAATAATTAGATGATTGTTTAAATGGATTGATAGATGTTTTGAGAGAGAAAATATATTGGAAAGAAATAAAGAGAAAGATATATATATATATATATATATATATATATATATATATATATATATATATATATATATATATATATATATATATATATATATATATATATATATATATATATATATATATATATATATATATATATATATATATATATATATATATATATATATATATATATATATATATATATATATATATATATATATATATATATATATATATATATATATATATATATATATATATATATATATATATATATATATATATATGAGGAAGTGGAAAGAAGAAAAAAAATAGAAAACATAAGAGGAAAGAAGAGAAAGAAAGTGGAAGAGGGGAAAAAGAGAAGAAAAGAGGAAAAGCTTGGATTCATCAAGAACAACTCTTGGCTATCGATTTCATCAAGGTAAGGATGTGAAATATCATCATCTTGTTAATATATATGATTGTGTATGGATTGTATGAGTTGTTTGGATGTTTTCTCTATTTTTCCATTTTAGGTCGAAATAAGTTTAATCGGTAGAAACTGAGTTTTATCGGTTAGAATCTGGAAGGGATGATGTAGATTAGTCGAGATATATATTAGGTTAAGTCTACTGGAACGAGTTTGGTTGGAATCGGGTGAATCGGGAGCTCCAGATGAATACTGTACAGTTTGGAGTTTGGTGTTCGCACACTCGCTAGCTTGTTCGTTAGGCGAGCAAGTCGCGAACGTTCGCTAGGTCCTCGCCTAGCGAGCCTGTGGAGAACGGTCCCAGACTTGGGACAGAATGGATTTGGACCTCCTCGCTGGTAGCGAGCGAGGTAGCGAGTTGCTCGCTAGGGCCTCACTGTGGTGAACTGGTAGCGAAGCCTTCCAGTGGCTTCTGTTTGTCTTCGCTAGCTTGTTCGCTAGGCGAATAGGTAGCGAATGTTCGCTAGGTACTCTCTAGGCGAGCCAGTAGCGAACGTGACAGCATTTTGTTTTTCTTGTGGTTCTATCCAATGTTGATTGTGTGGTTCGGTTGTTTTCAATCCTTGTTGGAATTGAATAGTCATGCTGTTGTGATGTGTTGTGGGTAGCCGTATGGCGTGAATCCTAGATGGTGAGATGAATTATGAATTGTGGCCGTTTGGCAATTATGTTGCATTATTTGAATTGATTAAATGCATGAGGAATATGATTGAATTGATTGCCATTGGCGTGATATTGTGAATGCATGGGGACATATTGCGAATATGCGTGCATTATGTGATAGATGTGAGGTCGGTGAGGTACGCATTAGGGTAGAATGATGAGATATCATTCCTAGTGGCGAGATCATTAGGGTAGAATGACTTGATGTCGTTCCTAATGAGATATGAGTGCTTGGATGCATTGGGGTAGAATGACTTGATGTTGTTCCTAATGCAGTATAAGTGTTGGTGCACTGGGGTAGAATGGCTAATGATGTCATTCCTAGTGTGGAACTCACTGGGGTAGAATGATGTGATATCGTTCCTAGTGAGAAGCTCATTGGGGTAGAATGACTTGATGTCGTTCCTAATGAGATATGAGTGCTTGGATGCATTGGGGTAGAATGACTTGATGTTGTTCCTAATGCAGTACAAATGTTGGTGCACTGGGGTAGAATGGCTAATGATGTCATTCCTAGTGTGGAACTCACTGGGGTAGAATGATGTGATATCGTTCCTAGTGAGAAGCTCATTGGGGTAGAATGACTTGATGTCGTTCCTAATGAGATATGAGTGCTTGGATGCATTGGGGTAGAATGACTTGATGTTGTTCCTAATGCAATACAAGTGTTGGTGCGCACTGGGGTAGAATGGCTAATGATGTCGTTCCTAGTGTGAGACTCATTGGGGTAGAATGACTTGATGTTGTTCCTAATGAGGTATGAATGTGAAACTCACTGGGGTAGAATGATTCGATATCGTTCCTAGTGGAGTAGTTACTGGGGTAGAATGACTATGTGTCGTTCCTAGTGACGTAAACACCGGGGTAGATTGACTGGGAGGTTGTTCCTGGTGGAGTACGAGCGATGTACCATAGTCTCGAATAGATAATTATGAGAGTGACGAGTT